TTACAATTTAGGTCGCCCGCCAGAATGACAGAGCTCCCCATACCGAGCAGCGCCTCGATATCACTGCTTAGAACGATCTTATCCGGTGGAAGATAAACGGACGCGATAACGATCGGCGCGTGTCCCGTCAGTGAGATTCGGCACACTGATGCTTCGATATTAGCGAGCGCGGGAGGATCGAGCGGGAGTTATTTTAGCTGAAAGTATATCTAAAGTATGTCCGGAAAAAAATAAAATTGTAGCCGTTTTGAGGGTACTGGAAAAAAACGGCGCGGTGTCAAACGATCAAGGGCACAGTGCTAAATTGGAAGCGGCCTGCATCCAATGTAGCCTTGACCTACTTTTCGGGAAAATAGAAAAAAATAAATAAACAAAATTGAACTCATTTCGTTCAAAGCTGTATTGTGTAACAAAAACGCTAAGCCCGCGTCAATTGCAAAAGTTCTAAAGCTAGACGGATGTTGCATTCGTGTAAAGGTCACTCGAATTATGACGACTGGTCGTTAATTGGCCAAACTGGTGACCGTACAGTGTATCTTTTTTTTTTTCAAACAGCCATTAATTGCCAATTTTCCATTAACAATGCCTAATCATGCCATGGAGAGGTTGCCGAAAATGATCAATCGTAAACATTCTGTTATGTCTGGTAGAGGCATGATTATTTTCAGATGTAAAGGCTCATAAAACCATTCCAAGGACATCTTCACTTTTTTTATTGCTTAGATGGATGTACGAGCTCACGACCCACCTGGTGTTAAGTGGTTACTGGAGCCCATAGACATCTACTACGTAAATGCTGCCACCCACCTTGAGAATAAGTTCTAAGGTCTCAAATATAGTTACAACGGCTGCCCCACCCTTCAAACCGAAACGCATTACTGCTTCACAGCAGAAATAAGCAGGGTTGTGGTACCTACCCGTGCAGACTCACAAGAGGTCCTACCACCAGTAGATCGTTTTCAAGTTTTTTTATTTTTATTGCTTAGGTGGGTGGACGAGCTCACAGCCCACCTAGTGTTAAGTGGTTAGTGGAGCCCATGGACATCTACAACGTAAATGCGCCACCCACTTTGAGATATAACTTCTAAGATCTCAGTATAGTTACAACGGCTGCCCCGCCCTTCAAACCGAAACGCATTACTGCTTCACGGCAGAAATGAGCAGGGTGGTGGTACCTACCCGTGCAGACTCACAAGAGATCCTACTACCAGTAGATCGTTTTCAAGTCTATCTTAGTATTCGTATACTAAAATTGATATAATAAAATTCTACCAAAAGCATTAGCATTATGACTTTATGTGTCAAGAAAATCTATAAGCTCTACTAAAAGCTTAACAAGTTAACAGTAAACCCGTCTGCCTATTAAAGTTGAGTAGTAGAAGGTAAAATTACTTGAGATTAATAGAAATTTTACATCGTGTTTGTTTGCTTAATTATTTTAGAGTCTGGTTATAAAATAATTTGAACAATTTGAGAACCGCCAGTTAGGTAATTACTTGATTCTTGAATAATAATAATTAGAAACGTGCGTGCTAGTGGAAATGTACCGTAGTTAAATTCATAAGTCTTTACGAATATGTATAACCAAATTCCATCACATCAGCTTTTGTCTCATTTTTTGATAGTGATAGGGCGTATTTTAAGCCTGCGCGAGAAGGTACTATCATCCTGCCCATTTCTGAGGCGAAATAGTTAGGGGGCGTCCGTTAATTACGTGAGTCATTTTTGAGAATTTTTTGACAGCCCCTCCCTCCCCTTGGCGAGATTTCGTAAGATTTTCTTCAACTAACTCCCCCTCCCCTAACCTAACGCGAAATTCTTCAAAATTCATGTTTTGGCTGCAACCGTGTACTCCTGCACAACCTCCAAGAGTGACTACTGTAATCAACATATCAAAGTGATTTTCAATAAAATCATCTGCTCCTTCATCTTCGCTCTGTAGAATTAGTCTGAATTTGATTTAAAAATTAAATTATTTGTAGTTCCCAATGACGATAATTTAATATTATAATGATAAACCCAATAAATAATGCGATAAACCCAATAAATTTATTTTTAAGACTACACACAAATCTTGTTGTCCGATATTTCATTTTGTTGCAAAGCAGACTTGCGCCCGGAAACGACCCATGACATTGTTACGTTCCTACACCCGGTGTCTTATCTATAAGACCTCGGACGCTTGGCCTCCAGAGTACTACAGATCATAGTTTGTCTAGATTGCTCTAAGTAGTTAAAAATAATATTACGGATTATCAGACTTAGGTCTGCTTACAAAAATTAGAGGGTAGTTGAAAAATTTTCCACGTCCACCACGAAAACTGATATATTCCAAACTTTGGAAATAATAAACCAGAGATTAAACTGTTGTAAAAGTAGTTATAGATATTATATGGTAGATAGACTACGCATAATATGTCAAAAAGCATAAGTTTATTGCAACAGGCACTTTTAGAGTGTTCACAACGTGTAATCGTTTTAGTGATCGAACGCATTTATATTTGGGCAAATGATTATCATTGATTTAAATTAATTAATCCCTTCAACAATTAAAATCTCCGCAGTTAACTATTCTGTAACCCTGTACAAAACAGGACCTATGCGTTTAAAAGTTGGCAAATTAAAAATGGACAAGTGTAATGAAAATAATCCAGGTGTATTTTGTTCTTTCTGTGTCTTAGATAAACGTGAGTTTTATCTCTACGACATTGCGAGTGCTATGAACTCTAGCTGTAATTGAATAATCAGGTTGTTGTTGTAAAGTTAAGATAGTAAGTGAGTACTTTAGAAACAGTAAACAATGTAATTGAATTCTGTTCTGTGATTCATGTGCTAGTTAATTACGATTGTGAACTTGGCGATTCGAAGGAACGCGAAGCTAAACATTTTGTTCAGGTTATTTCTATTTTTTTCCCGTATCTATTCGCTGGTCGCTTGGGGAGCTATACCAGCTACGTCCAGAGGGGTAGGTGAGCTCACGGGGTCAACCTGAGAGAATTTGCTAACGTTAGACCTAGCAAGACCTAAATGTATGAAAATGGTAGTGCAAGATAGAGGGGGAAAAGGTCGACCGAAGAAGACATGGATGGAATGTGTGAATGGCGGTATGAGAGACAGAGGAGTGAGTGTTGAGATGACGGCTGATGGAAGAGAATGGAAGAGAAAAATTAGCTGCGCCGACACCAGCTAGTGGGATAAGGTGGAGAAAAAGAAGAGACCTAGCAAGAGTAGTGCTTCTCAGAATCTATCACCAGATCGAAATCGGGACCCACTGAAAAGATCCGGCAAGAAAGTCAGTGGGCTGTGTCCATGGGTATTTCTGGCTTCTCCATCCTGCTATGCTACTGTCAATTTGTCAGGATTGCGCGATACCAAAGAATCTAGTATATGTCACCATGTGACGTTACATTGTATTACCTAAATTCTCCTTATTGACATAGTATATTAATAATGCAGTCTAATTTTATAACAGATATTATAATAGTAAATTATGACATAATCGTGTATCAATGTCGTGCACGATGCATGAAGTTTAGTTTAAAGTACCTTGTTGCCGTAAATATTTGTTTTTTTGTGTGTATGAGAAGCGTCGCGATTTCTTTCCTGTCACATAAAATACTACCCTAATGTGCGTTGCTTCAAAAATTCATATTTAAACGTTATTGTTAATTATCGATTGCAACACCCTCCCCACGCGTCGTTTCCTCGCTGCTGAGGGTCGTGACCATTATATGTCGACAGGATTTTGCTCCTTGTAATGTCCCGCCAGCGCCTCCGATCATTACAACGATATCCGATTCGATATTGCAACACCCGGATTCTGGTAAATAAAAAAATTTATATAAATTAGATAAAACATTTTTTTATTGTAATTATATTATTGACGACGTTTTGAATACTCTACAGTTTTCGTTTACAGTTTTTCAGTCGTCCGACAAGGAAAACTGTAATTCAACGGTAAAAGTACTTTTAATTATGTCTTCGACTCGCGAAAACCGACGAAAATGCTAAATATACCTATATATAAATACTAACGGCCCGACAGACGTTGTCCTGCATAATATGAATGAATGAATACATACACAAAAATTCATTCAAGTCGATCCAGCCGTTTAGTTGCAGTATAGATAAATAAACTAGATACCGACTGCAGCGCCATCTGTCGGGCTAATTTGTGAACCTAAACCATCCAAACGCATACAAAAAAATATATTCAAATCGGTCCAGCCGTTGAGTTCCGTGACATACACACGTACAGTAGAATTATATAAATAAACTAGCTTTTGCCCGCGACTTCGTCTGCGTGGAATAGTTCACAAATAATGCTTTATTTTAGAACAAATTTGCCTAGCATAAAAAACGTAATAGTGGGCCAATCTCAACATATAGACACATGCTGTCGCGGACTTTTTTTAGATCTTTTAAGAGGGAACAATTCTGTCATACATTATTTTAGCGAAACTTTAATCGTTTCTGCAGCACACACAGCGGAAGCTCTCAAAAGGTAAAAATAAACCCGATTTTGAAACATTATTTATTGGTGCTCCGCTTGTATTGGTCTTAGCGTGATGTTATATAGCCTATAGCCTTCCTCGGTAAATGGGCTATCTAACACTGAAAGAATTTTTCAAATCGGACCAGTAGTTCCTGAGATTAGCGCGTTCAAACAAACAAACTCTTCAGCTTTTTTTTTTATTGCTTCGATGGGTGGACGAGCTCACAGCCCACCTGGCGTTAAGTGGTTACTGGACCCCATAGACATCCACAACGTAAATGCGCCACCCACCTTGAGAATAAGTTCTAAGGTCTCAAGTATAGTTACAACGGCTGCCGCACCCTTCAAACCGAAACGCATTACTGCTTCACGGCAGAAATAGGCAGAGTGGTGGTACCCACCAGCGCGGACTCACAAGAGGTCCTACCGCCAGTAAATTATAATATTAGTAAATAAATATTTGTATCTATTTAATGATTTAACTAGTGTATTTCGTTTGTTTCAGATTTAGTACACTGCACGAACGAGCCTAACGTGTCGATACCGCAGCTGGCCAACTTGCTCGTCGAGCGCACCCAGAACACTAATTGGGTTGTCGTTTATAAAGCGCTGATAACCGTTCATCATCTACTCGCTTACGGGAATGAGGTAGGTCCTTTCTGTTACTTCAATCCCAATTGACGGGACCGTATACATCTTCGTTTTCAAGTAATGCGTCGGCTTCCAATATCTTACATTTTTCATTATCAATACTCTGCCTATTTTCACGAATACCAGGTGTTTCATTCCAAAGATTTGAATATTGTCTACTACTATATATATATGATAGTATATATATAGATACGGTTGGTCTGTCAGCTCAAGGTGGCTCAACGTGCCATGGAAAGGGCCATGCTCGGAGTTTCTCTGAAGAATAAAATCCGGAATAAGGTTATTCGACAGAGAACTAAAGTCATCGACATAGCTCAAAGAGTCAGCAAGCTGAAATGGCAGTGAGTGGGCTGGCCATATATGCCGTAGAACTGACAATCGCTGGAGCAGACGGTTCTCGAGTGGAGATCGCGCAGCGGAAGACGTAACGTGGGACGCCCCCTGGCTAGGTGTTGCGATGACCTCCGAACGGTGACCGGCATGAAGTGGATGAGGAGAGCCGAAGACCGGGGTCAGTAGTGTGGATTGGGAGAGGCCTATGTCTAGCAGTGGACGACTGGGCTGTTGATGATGCTGATAGTATATCTACTACACAATCATTCAGTTTTATACAAGCTTGATAATTACTATGCGAATGCCAATCGAAAATTCTTTATGCCGCATATGGAATTCCTTCAACACCCTCCTGAATTATTGCAAAGCATTAATCGTAGACCTTTGACGGAACGACTTAAAAGCCGTCACCCGCTTTGAGGCATAGGAGCATTCTTGAGGTCTTGATTATATTGTATATGCGTTGCTCCACCCTTCAAACAGGAAGGCGTGATTGCTTCGTGAATAGTCTGGTTATAGGCAGGTACCTAGAGGTTCCGCATCACACAATTAACATCAGTCATTATACATATCTACCTTTACTAGCGATTGTTTTAAAATTCTACATTACATTATTTACACTATAAGTTCTTACAATTTCGCATTCAATGAGATGATGGGTAAGCTGGTCATTAAATATGAAAATCGTGGTGAGAACCCTTTAACTAATGGGGCGCGTTACATTTACCAGGTTTGATGAACTTTGTTAATGGAGAACATCTGGTATATGGTGGGTCGAAGCTACAACCAAGTCGGCAGCCTTCTCGTCTTGTCTTCCAGAACAGTGCCTTTTAGGTTGTTTTTTTTATTGCCCTTGTAGATAGACGAGCATACGGCCCACCTGATGGTGAGTGGTTACCGTCGCCCATGGACTTCAGCAATGCCAGGGGCAGAGCCAAGCCGCTGCCTACCGCTTAATACTCTCCACAAGCCTCGTTTCTTTACCTACCTAATGGTTGTTAGCTTAGGGGGTTATTCCAACTACGCGGACTGATAGATGAGCTCACGGGGCTCAACCCGAGAGGACTTGCTAACACAAGCCCTAGCAAGAGCACTACCTTGCTGAATCTACCACGAGATCAGATTCGCGAACAACTGACCAGACCTGGCGAGTCGCTCAGTGGGCTGTGTTTAGGGGATAACTGATGAAACATGAAGTGCTGCAATTAATTTTTATTAATGATGTTAAAATACCCAGCTGTCGTTATCTCTGAAAATTAACGTGCTTGAAATTAATATTTGACCGTTTTGCAATGAATCATTTCGGTTACCAACAATTTTTAGGTACAAACGTTATCGTAACGACTCATTCGATATCTGACTTCGAAATTTTGACGTAAGACCACTCCCAAGAGTGGACTATTGAAACTCGCGCTGAGCCTCCGAAACTGCACCAAAAATATGTATTTCTTATAATTACACATTTTTTTATTGCTTATATGGGTGGACGAGCTCACAGCCCACCTGGTGTTAAGTGGTTACTGGAGCACATGGACATCCACAACGTAAATGCAGGCAGAGGCAGGGCGGTGGTACCTACCCGCGCGGACTCACAAAAGGTCCTACCACCAGTAAATTGAACGATCTCACGGTCCACCTAGTGTTTAAGTGATCACCGGATCCCATAGACATCAACAACATGAATACCGCACTTGAGACATGAGTTAGTGTCGGTTCAATTGAGATTCAACGAGAAAATTAGGACTTCAGCCTCATTTCTCAAAGTGGGTAGCGGCATTTCTAGAGGTCCATCTAACTTTAAAAAAATCGACTGCATCTATCTTTTGTGAACACGAAAATACAATGCGTTCCATATTCTGCCACGCTTCTTGCTTTCGTGTACCAGCTTACATAACCGCCCCGGTTACGGACGGGTCCGCACACACAGCATCGTTGTCAACAAAATGTGACATAGAATGCCACCTACAGTTTCGCGTCACAGGGAAAGCCGGTTATAAACCAAATTAATTGACTCGAAAATAAATAATAATAAATAATTTCTGATATTATTATTTTTGTGATATAGATATAGATAAGTGGACGAGCTCACGGCCAACCTGGTGTTAAGTAGTTACCGGAACCCATAGGACAATGTAAATGTGGCCACACACCTTGAGGCATGAGTAAGGTCTCACTTGTAACAGTACAACGACTGCCCCAACCTTCAATCCGAAATGCATTACTTCTTGACGACAGAAATAGGCAGGGTGGTGGTATCTGCCCGTGCGGAATCACAAGACGTTCTACCACCAGTAAAAAATAACAATAGACTGCAAACAATTTAGGATATTCTACTCTACTACTATAAGTTTGAACATTAATATGCTTCTATTGTCACATTTCTATAACAACGAGTTTTCCATAATCACACATTTCGCCATGGCTACACTATAGACAAACAATATTAATATATTCTCAATTTGATCACAGACTTTTACAATAATCAAAAGAGGATAAATGAGTGTGTGTGTGTGTCAAATACACGGTAGTGTGTGTAATGTATTTTTATTGATTTAATGTATTTTTATGCATAATAAAAAAAGAAATTAGCATTCTGCATTCCTCTATATTCTCTATAAGTGTGGGAAATTTTATACTCCTTCGTCTGCGCAATTTTCTTAAAAAGGACCACAAAGTTTTTGCTTCACGTTTTACGAGGGTTGCACTAAAAGTATCGGGAATGGAATATTTCCACTGTTCCTGTCATATTAAAATCTTTTTAATTGAAAACTCCTTGGTTTTAAAAATCGATTACCATTTATTTATTTAAAAAAAGATTCTCGGTCTTGTCACGAGGTTTTGTCAAACTTGTTTAGTCGTTGAGAAAATGGAATTGACTCGAGAAAATTCAAGAGCGATGATTTATTATGACTTTCGAAGTGGTTTAACACAAAAACAGTGTGTTGACCGGATGATTTCTGCATTTGGTGATGAAGCCCCATCCAAAACCACAATTTATCGCTGGTTTGCTGAGTTTCAACGTGGACGTGTCAAGCTCAGTGATGATCCCCGTCAAGGTCGTCCAAAAACTGCAGTCACCCAAGAAAACGTTGATGCTGTGCGTAAGCTGATTGAGGAAGATCGACATGTGACATACCGCGAAATTCAGGCAACTTTAGACATTGGCATGAGTCAAATACAAATAATCTTGCATGAACAATTAGGTGTAAAAAAGTTGTTTTCCCGATGGATACCGCATTCGCTCTGTGAAGAGCAAAAAGCGGCTCGCGTTACTTGGTGCGTCAGAACTCTCGAAAGATTCCACGCAGGATCCTCAAATGCTGTATACAACATTGTATCAGGTGACGAATCCTGGATATACGCGTACGAACCCGAAACAAAAAACCAGTCACGAGTTTGGGTGTTCGAAAATGAGTTAAAGCCAACAAAAATTGTTCGTTCACGGAGTGTTGCAAAAAAAATGGTGGCCACGTTTGTCTCCAAAACCGGCCATGTTACGACTATTCCTCTTGAGGGACAAAGAACGGTTAATGCAGAATGGTATGCTAGCATTTGTTTGCCACAGGTCGTTTCTGAACTCCGTAAAGAGAACTGCAACCGCCGCATCATCCTCCATCACGACAATGCGAGTTCTCACACCGCGCACAGAACAAAAGAGTTTTTAGAGCAAGAAAACATAGAATTATTAGACCATCCGCCGTACAGCCCCGACCTAAGCCCTAATGATTTCTATACTTTCCCTAAAATAAAGAATAAATTGCGTGGACAGAGATTTTCATCACCTGAAGAAGCTGTGGACGCCTACAAAACGGCCATTTTGGAGACCCCAACTTCCGAATGGAATGGTTGCTTCAATGATTGGTTCCATCGTATGGAAAAATGTGTCAAATTTCGCGGAGAATACTTCGAAAAGCAATAAATACATTTTTAAATAGTAATGTTGTGTCACTTCGTTAATTCCCGAAATTTTCAGTGCCGCCTAGGTAATATATAGATAACAGCCCACTGAGTTTCTCGCCGGATGTTCTCAGTGGGTCGCGTTTCCGATCCGGTGGTAGATTCTGCGAAGCACGGCTCGTGCTAGGGTTCGTGTTAGCAACGTCGTCAGGCTTGAGCCCCGTGAGCTCACCTACTAGTTAAGGCGACACTGATATAGCCTCTCAGGGCTATCAGCTTAGGTAGGAAAAAAATAATATAGATAACTTACTACTCACGAAATATGTTTGCTCCATGATAGAAAAGGAACGTAGACAATGGTCAGTTTTCGTTAGTTGAGAATGTTCTTGAACCACAGCTCATAGCTATCATAAATTAAACGCTTCGGTCCCTTTTGAGATATGCGTTCATATTTCTTAGCTAGCATTTTTCGTAATACTAGAGGTCCCGCAGTAGTCGAAATTATTATTATATAATTAATTGGAATTGTAAGTTTGTACACTATTATCATTGTATTTTATACTTCTACAATCACGAATTTCGCCAAGACTACACTATAAAAACATTAACAAAGACAAACAATATTTAATCTATTCTCAATTTGACAACAGACTTCAAGAACAAAAGTTTGACAATAAATAGTATGCATGCGTGTGTGCGTCAAATACATGGTATGTGTGTGTAATGTTTTCTTTATTGATTCAATGTATATTTTATGCATTATTTTA